ACACCCTGTCAGGAATCTGCTCACGAAACCAGGAGTACACCGTCTGTTCCTACAACAGGGGTGTACTACGGATTTTCCACAGGCCGAGAGATCTCTCGGAGCAATACGCAACGTGCGCAGTGGAGCATTCAGGGGAGCCAGGAAATTTCACTCAAAGAAGTCCCCACGGCAGGGCAGGTCCGCGGACTTCGTTGCAGCGCACGCAAACATACGTACACAAAACCTGGATTTGAGTAGGGCTGACTGGCGACGGCTAATAGGCCAGAAATGCCCATCCCTGTCTCCCATGTCACTACTTGCCCTCAGCCCATATTACCTGTCACTGTGAGTATGCCTGCGGGGTTCTAGATCAGGTCGCAAAACTCAACGGGACGAGGAGGTTCCGCAACCCGATCGGTGAATGCCCTTCCACCACTAGTACCCAAGCAAAATGTCACTGGTGCATGAATTACGACGGTCAAAATGCGTACTAGGGATTTAAAATGTTTGCAATCCCATATTGCAGCTGTTAGGGCAGATTTTTCAGGAACGATTAATTTCATGCGATTCCTATTTCAGTCACCCCACTGGTTAACTTGAGCGGGCAGCATCCGTCGTTTTGATTGGGGCTATCTGAAGGACTGGGTGTGTTTCAATACGCCTGGGACAAAGCAGGAGATAGTTGGGGAGGAATTCACGCCCTAGAGGCAGACGGGCTAAGAGCCGTAATCATGAATGTCGTAAAGGGAGCCCATGCCCATGTTTCTTTTAGCTACACGGAAATAATTTCCATTTTTCTTCGCGTTTATGAGGAACAGTGTTCAAAAAAGTTGCTGTCTATGTACTTTTGTGCTTTCAAATGGCAAAACGATTTATGGACCCACCTGCAAAACCTTTCCTCACTTGGATTAATGCACGCACACTGCCAAACGGGCTCAAGCACACATATTTGATCTACGATAGCTATTAGGACAAGAAATGGTTTCGATAGAAGTAAGCACCAGCTCCCACTCCGAGATACCCTGGTTTTCACTGACAACAACTTAAGAACATACATTGAGAGGCAACAGGCTTTTTATTCGCCGCATAACTGTTGTAAATAAAGTTTTTAAGATTGGATCTTATTTCGTAGCTGTACCTGCAGTAGGCGAGCCCCAGCCTGACCCCTAACCTCGAACCTTATGCCATATCCCTAACCCCAACCCTAACCTCTAACCCTAACCCCTATTAGGTGCGGCTACGAAATAAGATCTTGCCAAGTTCTGTTTTTTCACCTAGGCAGTCTTTTTCATTTGATAGCTTATTCAAAAATGCAGGTCTTCTTTCCATGACTTTCGGTGCTTTCGGTAGAACAGTAGCGTTTTTATTGGAGCAAATTTTTGTTAAATCATCCGGTACTGTTTTTGCGTCTGCAAATGTCCTTTTGAAGGTAAACAGCAAAACAACTTAATCAGAATCTTGCCAGGGGTAGTGGATAGTATGCAGACTTCGGAAGCGGCGGCGTCTTTTCGCTAGGATGTGTTCTAACCTGGAACCTGAGTTCGGCACTGGAGTGTTCATCACTGATAGTAGGGGCGGGGAGGCAAGTGATGATAGCCATCAGGAGTCACGTGGCAGAAAGCGAACACAAGCTAAGAAGCAGCCTGGCATTGCATAACAGTATAGCAACGCAAAAGTCGGGCATGTGGGTTGGAAAGATGTGTTTTCAATTTTTTTGCAATGCTCCCGAGGCGTCATTATGTAGAGGGTTCAAGTAGGAGGAGGATGGAAATGGTTAGGAGGATGAGGAGGTGTGCTTCTGTAGGTAGAAGATTCGTGAAACATTATTTCTCGATAAGGACGGAGTATGCAATCCTACTCAGGAAAAAAAAACCAGGTCATCGTGTAATACGGGCTTTATGGGTAAAGCTCAACGGCGGAAAGAAGAGCGCGTTAATAAGCAAACATCCAGATAAGCGTTGGAATGGTATATTGTGTTCTCGCGCCAAATTTCTCTACAACTGTTTACAAAAGAGCACATGTACCAGGAACGCGATCCTCGAGGAATGATGAGGACATCAAGATATCTGACAGTACAGGCAAAAGATGAACATTTTTCGCAGTTTGGTAAGATGATAGTTGGTAGCCGTGCCCACAGACTCCACAATGGTACCTACTAGATCGATTTCAGTAGCTGTGATTGCGTTCTCATTATGCTTCTAAATTCAAGCGCACGCTGCATTGCCTGTATCAGATTCATTTTAGAGGTACTATCCTGGACAGATTTTCACCGGTAACGATGACAATGAGGCTTGCCCTATGTCAAATTTCATTAGAAGAGGGAGTTGACAACCGTGCCCACATAATCCACAATCGTACCTACTGGCTTGATTTCAGTAGCTATGATTACGTTCTGATTATGCTTCTAAATTTGCATGCGTGCTGTATTACTTGTACCAGAGTCATTGTGGAGGTACTATCCTGGGCACCGGTAACGATGACAACGAGGCTTTCCCTACATCATTTTTCATAAGAAGAGGTAGCTCTTGACTGCCTCATTCATTGTAGAGGTACTATCTTGGGCGGATTGGCACCGGTAACGATGCCAATGAGGCTTACCCTTTATCAATTTTCAGTAGCAGAGGTAGCTTTCGACTGCCTCATTATTTGCGAATTTTCTATTCCGCCCAAACCAGTTTTTCGCATAAAAGTCTTACCCGGCTGGCGTTGTGGCCTTCCGCGTGCCGCTGCTTGACTCTCGTGTCCTTCTGTCCATTATATTGGATACAGTTCTATCGCTTACACTGCGGAATGACCTTCGGACCCGTTGCCTTCTTCCCATTGGTTGTTCGCCTTCACTTGCTTTTCTTTTCAATCTGAGGCTAGGATGCATTTATTCCACACACCGTTCAAAGTCTCCTTGCTCATTTCCATACCTTCCTTGTATTTTTCACCTAATCTAAATTAGGCTTCCACTTTCCCATGAACGTCAATTTCTAGCATATACTACAATCGCCAATTACCCGTTCACTCAATTGTCCCACCCGTATAGCCCCTATTACCACCGGTCCCGATTGACAGGCAGCTTTGAGTTTGCGGTGTCAGGAGAGCTACCAACTATCATCTAACCCGCAGTTTTTCCAGTTTGTTTTCAAGAGCGAAGTAGATTACATTCCGTCCAGTTACGAGAGCGGGGAGGGGTTAATTATAAAAAAATTCGAGGGCACAATATGCTACGATGACCTGGTTTTGTTTCCTGGGTGGACTAATGATGGTGGTGGTGGTGGTGGTGATGGTGGTGGCGGTGGTGGTGGTGGTGGTGGTGGTGGTGGTGGTGGTGAGAGTGCACTCAGAGCGCTACAATCATCGGGTCAAATCCCGACTTGTAAGCAGAAGACAGAAAATCACCGGAATGAGGGATTTAATGTATACGGAGCCCTGGGTTGTCTTCTCAGGCGGCAGTGGCCGCTGGCATATCCAGGACTGGTGTTGACTGCGTCCAGACGTGTTAAGCTGAGTCGTAGTTAGTCGGCTAAATTTTCTACTTCTTGTGGAAATGTTCTCTGACATAAGACATTGATAGTCGGCCCCGCAACTAAAAGAATATCTGTTCGTCTTCTGAAACTGCAAGAATCTTGTGTAGATCTGACCGATTTTTTGCATGATGGATTAAAAAACAGTTAACCTTCGTACGAAAAAGATTTCGTCGTCAAATGGCTTAATAGGATATCGAGTAATAAGAGTGACCGAAAATTGCGCAACATAGGAAAATTCATCTAATGCACCAGCAGCTCTTCGCGTCGAAACTGAATATGAGGCGTTGCGATCATTTTGAAGTAGTTGTCACCGTCTGTATTCAACCTCCGTTGCATTTGAAGGGGGCGGGTCGAGAGCTCCAGGTTCACCGCCGCTGATCGTCACCCGTGGAGAGGCACAATCCACGACATCATCATCAGCGGACGGATTAAGCATAAGCCGTACCAAGTAGTCACTAACAAGGAAGTTTTCAACTCTGGCATCTGTGGAAGGCTTGTTTGTACTCCTACCGTGCCAAGCTGGATACGCTGGGATTTCTGGTTCTAAGTTGCCTTGGTGACGTTTCAACTTCAGGCTGATGAAACGTTTCTTAATGAAAATAAAAGGAAAGCCAACTGTTGAGGTCTTTTTAGCTCTTTGCTGAGACCTTTCTTGTGTGCCATGCAGTCCGCCTCAGTCATATCTCCAGCTGTCCTTCGCAGTACTACTTAGTGAGTAATTAAATTGAGCTTATCACGATTTCCATGGCGCTAGCCATTTCAAAGCCCTGAAGACCCGTTCACTGAATGTCGGAGTGACTTTTTACGTCCAAGGTGCCCTGTGTATAGCAAACGGGCTTATTTAGGATCCTTTATAACGACGTCGGAAAGGTCCAAAATGTTGGTAGTGATTACCACGACAACTTTGGAAGTGGAGACCTCAAAATCCCCTAAACAAACAGACATGTAAGTATAAGTAAACACGAATAAGAGGGCGCCACCATGGTAATTGCAGTCTTTGGTCTTCCAACCAGATATTTGTTGAGAGTGCAGACCACAATGCTGATGTAAATGTTATCTATTTGATAGAACTGCGTATCAACAAGTAGCTCCCTCTGATTTTAGCAGACTTGGTTAGAAAAAAAACAGCCGAGTCCGTCTATTAAAACCCATCTACCATGGCTGTTTTATGATGCGTGATCTGATTAATGAGTGGAATTTCTGCTGAGAAGCTTGACCATCGTCAACTTTTTGCTGCACCCGCCAGCGTAGAACACAATACTGTCATTTTACAGGGTTTATTCAAAGGACTCTGAAACTTTCGAACCGAGCCTAAGAGGCTTTGCCCTATAGTATTTGCTCCAAGTTCACACACTAACTGCCTTGAGAATTGAGAAAATAAGCTGGTTACTAATAATTTATTTTCTTATAAACTTACACTCTATCAACATCTTTATTATAAAATAAGGTTTTGGCGCATCTCTCCAAGGTTTGTGCGTACATGAATTGATCCGTTTTTCAAGGCCTCTAAGAGACCCGACCTCCGTGGTCGATGGAATGGTCTTCCATTTCAACTCCATTCTGGCGTGCCGTGAGGAGACCGTTCTGGGGTTCATATGAAGGTAGCAACATCGACTTAAGTCTTCTCCCCTCAAAAACTGATGAGGACTCCACAGGTGGTGTAGGATAAGGCCTCGTGAGACTGTCGCCCCTCGAGTCTGAACCAGCATCCTGATCCAGTAACCGGTCTGCGGTCCGTTCTCTAAAGTCACCGAGTGACTTCTGACCAGTTCGCAGCCGCAGACTGAGGAGGAGGTCGTTGTTCAGACCACCAGCACAGTTGGTTGCCAGGGTCTTGGTAAAATGACTTTCATTCAGTGGTGGCTGGTCGCAAAGTTGTTGTTGCTGCTGCTGGGTTTGTCGACTGCTCTGTTCTAGTCGACGGCTCATTTCCTCATTTAAATCTTTTATTTGCTGTCGCTCCTTTTTCAATTTCATCCGCCTGTTCTGGAACCAGATTTTAATCTGCCGCTCCGTGAGCGAGAGGCTGTGGGCAATCTCGATACGACGGCGACGCGTGAGATAATGGCTGTACTGAAATTCCTTTTCTAATTCAAGCGTCTGATACCGGCTGTAGGTTTGCCGACCCCTCCGTCTGTGAACCGAGTTAGGACCTGAGTAGGAAATGTGAATCACTTAAATTGTCAAATGTTAAATGCTTTATCCAATTGTACTAATATTATTTAAGTAAGGGATTTTATGTCCTGTTTATAAATTCCAGTCTGACCTCTTTTTCAGACCACGGGAGCGCCGTTGTTGTTACTTTCCGTAATGAAGTGCTCATGACCCACCTGGTAGACCCCAGTGGTGGACCAGCTGCGTCAGGTGTGTCTGTGCGCATGCTTGTGTTTCCGGTCCCAGCTGGTGGTCAGGGTTGTGATTGGCCGAATGAAGGCAAACAAGCTCAAAACAGTGCTGTATCAATCTACCTTTCAGACTCTGTCGTCTTCCCTCTGATATATATATATATATATATATATATATATATATATTATGACAGTGGGCGCTCACCAATCAGGTTACGGAATATGCTCGTTCCGTTGTGCCTTGGGCTCACACTAGAACCCCCGCAGGCAGTCGCCCAGCGACTAGTAGTAGACGTAGATGAGATGGTGCCGACAAAGACAAGGGAGACCGAAATGGCTATTTCTGGCTTATTGGCCGTCATCAGCCAGCCATACCCAACCCCAAGTGTGGGTCACTTGAGATTCGAACCAGGGATCTTTGGTCATGGAGTTTGTCACTCTACCATTGATCCACGGGCCCGTTGTCCTCTCGGTTTTGATCGGGAATATCAATTATGATAGTGGGCGCTCACCGATCAGGTTACGGAACATGCTCTTAAGTGATCCACACTTTGGGTTGGGTATGGCCGGCTGATGACGGCTAATAAGCCGGAAATTGCCATTTCGGTCCCCCTTGTCTTTGTCGGCCCCATCTCATATATGTATATACTCATCTCATGACAGCAGCGCGCACCAACCAGTCCTGTTTTTAAGACGAAAACAAATTTCAGACTCGACCTGAAACTCCTTGTCTAAAGCTCATACGCAGGGCGACCAGTAATAAATGAGCGGCAGATTTTACCAACCGGGATTAGGGGAACCGATATGACCGTTTACACTTATAAGGTATCATCAGCCGATAATAGTCCAACAATAGGAGGTGGCTTATCCGGCAGTTGCACCAGCGGTCTGCTGGACATTTAACATCTGAATTTCAACGCGGAATCTACTTGAACTATAGGACTTAGGCTAACATTTGTCGGTTAATATCATGCACATGTAGTCACACGAAAGTGACGTTCACATGTATATCCCCATTGCAGGACTGAGGTGGGCTTTTCCGATCCCGTTCATGGGTAGTGACAGTTTAAGCCTGATGTGTCCCCGTCAAGGGGAATCTCAGTAGCTTGAATGGACGGAAGTAACGGATATGCATGCTGTCTTGTTTTCAAGTGTCAGACGAGCCAATATAAATATTTTGACCGATCAGTCTCAACTTTCAGGGTATTTTGTTCGCAGAAGGACTGCGATTTCATGGCATAGTGATTTTAGTTGACGATCGCTCTGACTTGGTTTCAACGGAGCTACTGGTCTCAAACGTTGCTACGATGCAAAAGAGTGGACTAAGAGCAACAGAAATCCCTAGGAAAAGCATAGGAGGACCAGTGCTTTCTGCAAAAGGAACCCTGAGTCATCTGTGTGAGGGCCATAGAATAAGGGTACTATAAGTCTAGTGGCAAACCAACTCACTTACTCTGGTGCCCTTGAGAAGGTTATAAGCTGCCCTAAATTTAAATACTGTAGGCCTGTGGAAAAAATTGTTGTCTCCCCTAACATGGGGAGGCACGCTTGAAAATGTATACTGTAGCAATCTGGAAGATTTGTTTTGGCGGGCACTGTCTCATGCTAAGTCCATATTAGAAGCTTTCCTAATCGTATTATTTCGCCTCCTATCGGCATGAAGACGTTGGGTAGGTTGCGTGATCGTATGGCAGGCCAACTGCAGAGTCTGGCGTCAGGCCGATGAATGAGCCGATACGCGTATCCATCTGCTACTCGCTGTGCACAAAAAACCAATAATCCAGTTGTAGACCCTTCCCGGCGGAGATGAATTGACAGTCCATTGAGGTGTATGTAGTATTTACCTTGACATAGGAGTTTGTGACAGTTTACAACGCCAAATGGAGGGGCTGCTGCCCCCAGCAATCGCATTCCCATCCCTCCATTATGCATTTATGACTGCCTGATGATGGCTAATTGGTCGATAACATCCATTCCAGTCTTCCTTATCTTTGTCAGCATTGTTCCTGCATTAATACTTGCCACCATCTGACTGTGGGCGAGAGCTCTAGACTGGGCCGCAAGGGCAACAGGACCAGCGTGTTTCTCAACCTGATCGGTTATCACTCTTTCAGTGGTTATATATAATATATAAGTGGTAATTAACTTTAAAGCTCTTACGGGTCATTCGGAAATAGGAAGTTCGCACAGCCAGAAAACCTTCGCTCGGGAGCGGACTCGATCTGCCGACCCCTCGGATTCAGAGCGTATTCTCTTCCACCTGAGCTACCAGGGCTAGTAAGTTGAAGAAAAACCCGTGTAGCTCTGGTGTTTTTCGGCTACAGCCTCGGTAACAGTCCATATACTATCTTCTTTAAGAAAGGTATTGTCTCCGATGAGCAGGAAAACAAAATCTCCCGGTCGGAGTTTCCGAGTGACAAGGACAGGCGTAAGTACCAGTCACACAAACAGCGAATACTGAAAGTAAGAGCTGGAGCTTGCATCTTTTGAGAAAGCGCTCATCACCTGAACGAGACCTGGCATCCCTCTCGAAAATGGAAAGGGTTGGGACTATTTACGGACCACAAAATAAGTCTCAGGCGTGCCGGTTTTGCTATAATGTCAGTTATCCCATTTCACTGTCTTTGCAACAAGTTGTTCCTGGTGGTGGAGGGCGGTAGGAGATGGTGATAGCGGCGGCGGCGGAGGTAATGATGGTGATTATGATGATGATGATGATGATGATGATGATGATGATGATGATGATGATGATGATGATGATGATGATGATGATGATGATGATGATGATGATGATGATGATGATGATGATGATGATGATGATGATGATGATGATGATGATGATGATGATGATGATGATGACTATGCGTAAAGTTCGATACGCTAGTGAGTCCTGCTCCCTGATACTTAGTCTCCTCCATATCTGCGGCGTTACCTCAGCCGTTCCTGAGTTCCCGACACTTTGGTTCAAATGCTGACAGTGCCTGTAATACTGGCACTTCAATTCTCTTATTTTGCATAGGGCGCTTCTTTTTGATCCTATAAGGCTTTCTGAGCGCTTCCAATAAACCGGATTTTTCTTCTAGAAGGCAACCATACGAGTTTTGTTTCGCTCCTAGAATTTTCTCACAAGTTCAGCCATCCTTTGTGCGCCTGGCAGCACATTTGTTGGAACCCCGAAACACAATATCTACGCAAGCGCACACAAAAATGTACAGCAGTCGTCTCTCTCTCTCTCCTCCGAGAGGCCTCAACTTACCATCTCGTCAACTGCTTAGGTAAACAAGGTGTCGCGACAACCTGATGCTTTCAGACCACACGGCGTCCCGGATTCAGTGTTTCCAACTGCTTTAACAGTCGAGAGAAACGCATTTCTGCGACAGAAGGAGAAGTCACTCCTACCTCTCCTCTCGGTGGGGGGGGGAGGCCGGTCAAGCACCTTCTCCTCCACTCTTTTCGGAAACTTCGCACAGCCTCAGGACAATCCGATGAGGCCTCCTCCCCACCCAGAAGGTGCTCGACTGACCTTGTAATGGACTGCAGACTACTGCCTTGGATTTTTGCCTTGTCTCGTTGCCACGGTGGGTGACAGTTGCCTTGACTCATTGGCTTTTCAAGAAGAATTAATTTTCTCCAGGATTAACCAGTTCTTTAGTCCTAAGCAAAACAGTTCGCTAACTTGAGTACCTTGTAACTGCTCGGAAATGTAGACTTCAGACTTGAAGAAGGAGGCACGATCGCTGGGACAAGAGCCTTATTAGCCTGACGTTTCGGATTCCTGCTCGAACCCATCATCAGAGACGAAAGCAGATACGGGTGTCTCTAATGATGGGTTCGAGCAGAAATCCGAAACGTCAGGCTAATAAATCTCTTGTCCCAGCAATCGTGTCTCCTTCTTCAAGACTGCTTCCTGGGACTCGTCTCTCCGCTCTTATTGACAGACTTCAGACTCTCGTACGCAAGCTCTTTGCCAAATTTTGGGAAACACTTGAGAGCAACTGTCTCGCTTAATAATTGAGTCAATTCATTTTTTTCGACCTGGCAAAGGTGTGGCGCAAATTCTAATATGGGGTGCCTCAGTTGCGCTAGTAAACTTCGATCCTGGGAAAATTACGGGCATTTAGAAGCAGATTGATAAAATTTGTGGTGCTTTTGGTGGTGTTG